CACATGTCACTGCACTTGTCGCTAATTATTTCATGCCACATGTCAATGCACTTGTCGCCAATTATTACATGTCACATCTCAATGCACTTATCGCCAATTATTACATGTCTTACATCAATGCACCGTCTCTAGTTATTACATGTTACATGTCAATGCACTTGTTGCCAATTATTACATGTCGCATCTCAATGCACGAGTCGCCAATTAATACATGTCACATGTCAATGCACTTGTCACCTATTTTACATGACACATCTCAATGCACTTGTCGCCAATTATTACATGTCACATGTCACTGCACTTGTCGCTAATTATTACATGACACATGTCCATGCACATGTCTCCAGTTATTACATGACACATGTCAATGCACTTGTCGCCAATTATTACATGTCACATGTCAATGCACTTTTCGCAAATTAATACATGACACATGTCAATGCACTTGTCGCCAATTTTTACATGTCACATGTCAATGCACCTGACGCCAATTATTACATGTCACATGTCAAAGAACTTATCGCCAATTATTACATGTCACATGTCAATGCACCTGTTTCCAGTTATTACATGACACATGTCAATGCACTTGTCGCCAATTATTACATTACACATGTCAATGCACCTGTCTCCAGTTATTATATGTCATATCTCAATGCATCTGTCGCCAATTATTGCATGTCACATCTCAATGCACCTGTCTCTAGTTATTACATGTCACATGTCAATGCACTTTTCGCCAATTATTACATGACACATGTCAATGCACTTGTCGCCAATAATTGCATTTCACATGTCCATGCACCTGTCACAAATTAGTATATGTCACATCCTATTGCACCTGTCGCCAATTATTACATGTCAATGCACTTGTCGCCAATTATTACATGTCACATCTCAATGCACCTGTCGCCAATTATTACATGTCACATCTCAATGCACCTGTCGCCAATTATTACATGTCACATCACAATGCATCTGTCTCTAGTTATTACATGACACATGTCAATGCACTTCGCGCCAATTATTACATGTCACATGTCAATGCTCCTGTCTCCAGTTATTACATGACACATGTCAATGCATCTGTCTCCAATTATTACATGACACATGTCAATTCACTTGTCGCCAATTATTACATTACACATGTCAATGCACCTGTCGCCAATTATTACATGTCACATATTAATGCACGTGTCGCCAATTATTACATGACACATGTCAATGCACCTGTCTGCACTTATTACATGACACATGTCAATGCAGTTGTTGCTAATTGCTACATGACACATGTCAATGCCTCTGTATCCAGTTATTACATGACACATGTCAATGCACCTGTCGCCTATTATTACATGACACATCTGAATGCACTTGTCGCCAATTAATACATGTCACATGTCAATGCACTTGTCACCTATTTTTACATGACACATCTCAATGCACTTGTCGCCAATTATTACATGTCACATGTCACTGCACTTGCCGCCAATTATTACATGACACATGGCTATGCACATGTCTCCAGTTATTACATGACACATGTCAATGCAGTTGTCGCTAA